AAAAAAAAAAAAAAAAGGGAGCAGGGATAGAGCATACAAAAAATTAAATCTTCACTATAGAGATTAGAAATGTTATTAATCCTCCGAAAGCTACATGGAAACTGAGGCTCAAAAAGGCCACCCAGCTACTCTTTGGTAAATCCAACATGCAAAATCAAGTTTCCCCCGAGTTCTCGCCCCTATACTATGCCATTTCAGTAGCTAACATAGGACCTTGCTTCTAATAAAATCCTCAACAAAAATTAGTGGATAGAAAATTAAGTCAAACCTCCTCTAACCCCATGATTCCTTTCCAAATTAGAGTATTTAGGGCCGTAAGGAAAAAATCACTGTAAGAAAATCAGGCTGCCACTCAATAATTATGGAGTAATACAATTTGGGAACTGTTAAAATATAACTATAACAAGTACACCACCACCACCTGACAATTATCAAGTGCTTAGCATAGCCAGGAACCATTCCAAGAGATTTGTACATGTCAACTCAGTTACTCCTCACAGCAGCTCCGTGGGGAAGGTACGGTTATCCCCACTTTATGAAGGGGGCTTAGACAGGCTAAGTCATGCCTGAGACCATGCAGAGAGTGAGAGACAGGACAGGGCAGCCCCGACCCATGTGACAATGAGCAGCCTGGGCGTCTGTCCACTTGTAAGTGGCTCTACAGCCAGCTCCCCAGAGGGCAGACTACGATTCTATTTTGGTCATTCCCACGGCTGGACATTTCCCAAGGTGCTCAAGTCTCCCCTTCCCTGACTTGAATTTTCACCACATCCACTCCCTAGTCACCTTAGATGTGGAGGATATTGCAAGGAAATATTTGGACAAGATAAGTGATCAATATATTAGGGATATATTGGATATAAGGACACTTCCAGTCTTAAAAGCTTGCAAGCAGCCATTTAAGATGCATCAATTGGTCCCGACCACCTGGAGTAAAGGAGAACGAAGAACACCAAAGACACAAAGAAAGTATTAGCCTAAGAGACAGAAAGGGCCACATAAACCAGAGACTTTATCAGCCTGAAACCAGAAGAACTAGATCCTGCCCGGCTATCACCAATGACCACCCTGACAGGGAACACAACAGAGAGTTGCTGATGGAGCAGCAGAAAGATGGGGTGCAGAACTCAAATTCTAGTAAGAAGACCAGACCTAATGGTCTGGCTGAGACTGGAGGTACCCCAGAAAGCATGGCCCCTGGACTCTCTATCAGCCCAGAACTGAAACAATTTCCGAGGCCAACTCTTCAGACAGGGATTGGACGGGACTGTGGGACATAAAGTGATACTGGTGAGGAGTGTGCCTCTTAGTCAAGTAGATACAAGAGACCAAAGGGGCAGCTTCTGTCCAGAGGTAAGATGGGAAGGCAGAGAGGGTTAGGAGCTGGTTGAATGGACATGGGGAATCAGGGGCAGAAAGGAGGAGTGTGCTGTTGCAGAAGGGGGTGAGCAATTAGGGTCACATAACAATGTGTGTATAAAATTTTGTTTGGGAGACTAACTTGAAATGTAAACTTCATTTAACTACAACAACAACAACAACAAAAAGGACACTCCCTCTGCCTGAGGCGTCCTTGAATCTCTCTGGCAAAACTCACTCATTTTAAGATCCACTCAAACTTCACCTTCTCTGTGTAGCTTTTCTTGATTCACCCAAGAAATAGACCACTCTCTCCTATACCACTGACCATGCCCTTCTAATATGAATTTGTCTTCTTCATATATGTCCTGACAATGACATGAGGACCTCCAGGGAAGGGGCTAATTCTCCCGTGCTTTATTAGTATTTGTGTCTCCAGTGCCTAGCACAGAGCCTGGAACATAGGAGGTACTCAAGAAATTCTTGTTCAGTGAGTGGATACATGAATGAAAGGCAGAAACCACACTGAGGTTATTCACTTGTTTGATCGGAGGATCCACAAGTGGATTGCAAGTATTTTCAATTTAATCTCTGGTGACCTAGAGGAATATCAAGACTGAAGTCCTGGGAAGGAGCCAGTGATCTTGGAGGGGGATCAAAAGAAACAGTCCATGTAAGAATCCTCCCCATCATCCCTGGCATTGTTATGTCTGAGTTTCCAAAGTAAAAAGAAAGAAAGAATAACTATAAGTTAAGCCATGTAACTACCACGATGCTATAATCAAATTATTTTGGTCACTGTCTCTTAGTCTTGACCGTAGGAATCCACAAAGAAGATAACTGACCTGTGTCAAACACAGGAGAATTCTGCTGCGTATATTTCTCCTCCGCTGTCTGCACAAGTAACTCATTAGCTCCTCCCTGGGTGTGGACTATCTAATTCTTTTTTCCCTGACTTTTCCGTTCAAGTATCTGGAACCAGATACTTTCCATGCCTGCACAACGGCATTCTACAGAACCTCCATAGAGCATGTTCAATAACAAGCTTCAAGTCTGAATACCCAGAAATGTAAAAACTCACTATCTCCAACACATATCAGAGGCTAATGTACATTCTGGGAAATTGTAAACAGAAATAACAGAATCATAAAATTGTAGACATAGAAAACTCTTGGAAAGAACCCCTCATCCAACTCATGGGTAAACATTACCAGAGAGGCTAAGTGTCTTACAAGGGTCACACAGCTAATCCAGAGGACTGGTGACATACCCTCTTATAAAATTTTACTCTTGTGCTTGTAACAAGAGTTCCCTTTTTTGGTAATAATGGTCCAGAATCATTGCATCCATTCAACATGACACCAGCAAAACAATCTTTAAGGTTGCCAGGCTTTCTAACAGGGGCCAAACTGGGAATTGTTTAGCAAAGGATAGGGTGAATTTTCATTTATGAGACTCTTCAAGGTGCCATATTTCTGGCCTCTTGAAGAACCTGGAGAACCAAAAATGTGTTAGAAATCAAGAAATTCAGGAGATTCAAGACGTAGGATCTTGAAAGGAGAACAACCAATTTGGAGGGCTAGAGAAGTTCCTGGATGGAGACAGGGAGGTATGGATTAGACAAGCAACCCAGTCACTGACAGAGTGTGGTGAAATGTTATTGTTCACCAGTATTTGGTGCCCAACCCTAAGGGAAGTGTATTCTTGCTCATTTAAAATTATGCTCATCCATGTGATATATTTTAGCCAAAGACATGTGAGCGGAAGGGATGTGTGTTATCTCCAGGCAGTAGCTTTAAGATCCAGTATATAGTTTGCCATGTTCTCGTTGGCCTGACTTTGTGATCACGGAAGACTGTGCTTGGTTTACGTCCCACCAGCCAGATCTCCAGTGGCTACAATGAGCAGTCTTTTTGCCAGTCCATGATGGACATGTAGTACGAGCAAGAAATATGGCTTACTATTTTACGCTTCTGAGATTTAGGGTCACAGTTTAGCATGATCTAGTTTATCCAGTCTGACACAGAGAGACGAGAGAGTCAAACAAAAGGTGAAGTCTGTTAATTCTGAGAAGCACAGTGTCTTAGTCATCTAGGGCTGCTATAAGAGAAATACCACGAGTGGGTGGCTCTAACAAACAGAAATTTATTTTCTCACAGTCCAGTAGGCTAGAAGTCTGAATTCAGGGTGTCAGCTCCAGGGGAAGGCTTTTTCTCTCTGTCAGCTCTGGAGGAAGGTCCTTGTCCTCAATCTTCCCTTGGTCTAGGAGCTTCTCTGTGCAGGAACCCTGGGATCCAAAGGATGCGCTCTGCTCCTGGTGCTGCTTTCTTGGTGGTATGAGGTCCCCATGTCTCTCTGCTCCCTTCTGTCTTTTATATCTCAAAAGAGATTGGCTGAAGAAACAATCCAAACTTGTAGATTGAGTCCTGCCTCATTAACATCACTGCTGTTAATCCCGTCTCATCAACATCATAGAGAGAGAGTTTACAACACATAGGAAAATCACATCAAATGACAAAATGGTGGTCAATCACACAATACTAGGAATCATGGCCTAGCCAAATTGATACACATATTTTGGGGGGACACACAGCTTATGATTCCAGTTGGCGGTGCACCTGTACTTTGCCTACATATACGTTATTCATATCCTGAATTTGCTGACATAGTAAAGGATTTTGAAAAATCAATGCAATGTCGCAAGCTGCATACAGAAAGGAGGGACCAGAAAGGGCAACAAAGTAAAGCCGTGCTCCCTGCCCAGGCAAAGCCCCTTGACTTCAAAAACAAGGACAAGACTAGTGTCAGTGCAAGAGCCTATCCCCATCTATATTTTGCTCTTGACGTTCCTATCACATCTTCTCTCCCATTTCACATTCCAGCAGCCTGCCCACCTCATCTCCAGTGGTATCTGATGGGCCTGGGCAGGCAACTCTGCTCATCTGATTGTATACACATGAGAATGTTTGAATGCCTGTTCGTGTGCACACATGTATACCTGAATATTCAGAAAGTACTTGCTAGATACAGAGAACAATACTACACACTCTATGTATAGACGCTCCCTTCCTCTAAATGATCCAGCCTCCACCTAGTAGCATCAACAAAGATTTAACACTCAATAATGGGTTCCTATTAGACTTAGGACCATGGTTACACATGCTACCAATGGCCCAAACCAGAGCACTATCTGACATCAGGTGCCAATGTCCTGCAGGAAAAAGGTAAATGCCTTAACTTCAGTCTGCACTTTCCTCCAAAGCAGATGTAATTTACTACACAAGTTAAGCAACAGTGGAAATGTCTAAACTAAATATTCTAAATATGGGTTAAAAAAAAAAAGTGCCAGCTAGTTAGTCAAATCCAGAAGCCAAAGCTGAAGTTCATCTCCTAATGGATCCATTCTTCTATTTTTATTCCCATCTTCATTTCTTTTATGTAGAGTCTCCCTGTACATGCCAGTCCCAGACAGTTAGTGTTGAAAGGTGCACTGGTCCAATTTCTTTTTGCTGCTAAAGAAACTGAAGCCCAGAGAAGTGAAGTGATATACCAACAGCACCAGGCTGCTGTATCCACAGGGGTCTGGGAGAAGTTACAGTACCCAGTGACCCACTGGCTGATTTGTGTATAAGAAGACCAACCTTTGCAGCTGAATCCTGACTGAGATAAACTTGCTCCTTTCTCTCTGGCTTTTTCATCAGCCCAGCCACCATCAGCCTTTCATTATGTGCCTGTTTATTTTGCTGTTTCACTAAATGCCCTTTGCAGGACTTGCAGAGGCTATTTTGGTAGCTTCCTGCATAAAGAAAATGTTTTGTTTAGGCTCCACCTTGTGTTCAGGGTGTCTGGGGCAGTTGAAGTTGATTGAATCTGAGAGAGAAAAGAGACAGGAGTCAGAAAGTTATATATCTGGCTTCAAATCTTTCCCTTCCTCTCCCATCTCTTACTTTCCCTCTCTTTTTCCCTCTTCACTCTACCCTCTTATAGTTAGAACTTTGAAAATTGAAATTAATTGAAAATATTTCTGTAAGCAGAATTGAAAAGAAAGCTATGAACCTTGGAAACGAAGCTCACACTCTAGAGAGTCACCAGTATATCAGAGTTTCATCCATTATTGCAGTTAAATCAGATAGCCCTTAGGAAACATCTTTGTCAACCACAAATTATAATATAGCTATAAACATAGCTTTTCTATAATAAGTAATTTTCCATGAGAACAACACTTCTCAGTTTTCTAGGACATAGCTGAAACATGACTTAGAATGCAGTTGGGTTTATATACATTTTTTTCGTGGAAATAAGACTTCAAATTCCCTAAGCATGATGCACTTTTTATCTTGCACAGCTTGGCTTCTCAGTAGAAAACCCATCTTAGGGAATGGAGCCTATTCCCAGAGAAGTTCTTCTGACTTTATCATCCAGAAGGCTAAGGATTGATTTATGAACTGCTCACAAGTCTAACAAGGGTCTGTGGACAGAGGAAAGGAGACAACCATTATCTACTTCTCCTGGAAGCAAGACAAGATTTATTTGGGTCCAAACTGGAACTGAAGAATTTAGATAAAAAATTATAGCAAGTATACACTGAAATGGATCACCTGTGAGATTTTAGAAAAGTTTTCCTATGCTACATACACTTTAGAGATCTCTAATCTGAACCAATTTAGATGGAGTCCTGACTAAAAGCAAGAATATGCATTAGATATACTTGACCAAAAGTCCCAATCAGTCTGAGCCCTGGTCCCAGATTAAAAAGAGATCAAGACTTCAAGGGAAAAAAGAATACCTCACTGAAGTAGAACAAAAAGAATACTTCACCGAAGTAGAACCAAAAAGACCAGTCCTCATCCAGTCAACAGGAAACATGGTCTCCTCTAAGGAAACCTCAACCTACTCAGAGTGTGGATTTTCTTACTCAACATGGACATCAATAGGCAGATGACAGGGGTTCAGGTCTACATATTCTGGTGCTTTTTGGAGATTGCCTCTTAAGCGAGAGAATTTGGAGACAGTTAAGTTACAGCTTACTCTTTTAAAAGTAAGATTAGAAAAGGTCTTTTCAGTCATTCAATAACCACTTACTGAGCACACTATGAACCAGGCACTGGGGACTGAGTGACACACAGACATGGTTCCTGCCCTCGTGGTGCTCACAGCCATGTACTTGAGAGATCTTTAATCCACATGCGATGAGTGTTACAAAAAGGGAAGTGGGCTACTACTGAAGTGCCCAACAGAGAGCCATAACCTAATCTAAGGAGTTGGGGAGGGCCCGCCTGGGGAAATTACCTTTGGGAGATGTATTTTCTTTTTAGATTGAGACCTGAAGAATAGCCAAGAGTTAGGTCACATCGCGGTCACTGGGTGAGAAAGTGTCCCAAGCAGAGAAAACAGCACATGAGTGCACTAGGGAAGAGAGAACATAACGTATTTTAGGGGCTGAAAGACTGGAGAGAGGAAAATGAGAGGAAAGCTGGTGAGAGGCTCAACCAGATGGAGAAAAGCCCTGCAGATCTTGCTAAAGAATATGGATTTTAATTTAAAAACAATGAGAGGCCATTGAGAGGTCTTAAATAGGGAGGTAACTGTCTAAATTTGCATTTTTAAAAAGATTTCTTATTCATAAAAACAAACAAACCAAACCCATTATCGTTGAGTTGATTCTGACTCATAGCGACCCTATTGGACAGAGTAGAACTGCCACCATAGGGTTTCCAAGGAGCAGCTGGTGGATTCGAACTGCTGACCTTTTGGTTAGCAGTCAAGCTCTTAACCACCACTCCACCGTCATATGGAGAATAGCTTGCAGGGGAGTAAGAGTCGTGCTGAGTTTGCACTTATGTTAAGGAGACTGTGCCCAGAGATGATGGTTTCACTGTGTAGCTGCAAGGGTGCTTTTGATACCACTCTGCGAAGCATGACTTTTCATTTAGATCAAATGACTATTTTTTTAAAGTCATTCCACTCATTTTCAGTTTCAGGTTTTCTTGTGCACATATGAAAAATAAAATGACAATGATAAGCATTGGTTCCATTAGAAGAACTTTGAGAACTACTAAATGATGATGATTTTGTATCAATGGCAAGACACGCTTCAAATAGAACACCAGTTAGTTCCAATAATGGGGTATTTTTTCATCCATTTCATCGAAGTTCATTCCACCAAAGGTGAACTATCTGACATTATTGTGAAAGCTACTGTAAACTTAGTTTAACAGTTCAACACTAAAGAAAAAATCACTTGTTTTTAAGGTGATAATATGCATACAAATTTTACTGGAGCACCGCATTATGGTACAACAATGAAGAGCCTAAGAAATAGAAATGTACTTGGAGTTAATTGTGGTACTCACATACTTCATAGCTGTGTCCAGGACAAGCTGCAATATTAAATATACAAATATTTGTGTATGCCTACAGTCAGGGTATGAAACTACAAAATAGTTTTATGGAAAAAAAAAGATAAATACAGAAAACTCATTGAGCAAAGCAGTATACAATTTGAGCCTTTGAAAAACTACTTTCTAAATCAATTAGTGTTCTGCAATGATATTACATTTTTTTGTAGGTGATACCTCTAGACTTTTATTCCATTTTGTTCAAATTTGTTTGGAAAAATTTTAAGAAAAATATTCAATGAGGAGAGCCAAAAATTCAAAAACTGAAAGAAAATAAAAAGAAACCTTTATTTTAAAGGTTTATTGAAAATAAAGCCTGCCAATAAAGGTTCATCATTCTTCCAGAGGAAGAGAATCACTTAATAAATTCAGTAATGAGACCTCAAACAATGTACAAATTCTACAGTTGAAATTCTATCGTGTTTTTTCCTGTAATTTATGACTTATCAAAAGATATTTACATGTTCCCATTTTTATATGAACACATTTATAATCAATACTAGAATACAACAAAATTAAAAGGCCTAAAATTTTGTAGTATCTAAATTTTTTTGATGCCTATCTTAGTGGTCACTGGGCTTCGGTTCTAAAATCTGCTTGAAGACAGGATGAGACCTTGATCCCTGAGAGGTGGATAAACTGTAATTGAGACTTTCACATCAATAAGCCAGAATCCCCAAAATTGACACTCTCAGAGAAAGGAAGAACTTCATCCACATGGGGACACAAAATAACTAGTCAAGGTTTGTTTAGATTTTGAGTGACAATATCTCCCTGGAAAATTCAGAACCCCAGTTTGAACAAGTTTTGGTGTTCAAATGTTTATTACTCATGAAATCTAGGAACCCTACTCAGAGAAATAAACATAAAAATTATTCCCTGATTAGAAATACTTTTGAGCACAAAACTGCGCTGGAGGAACACATTCTCAACATAAATGCCAAGAATTTATTTAAATATATATATACATATATATATATACGTATTCCATTGCCGTCAATTCCAACTCATAGCAACCCTATAGCACAGAGTAGAACTACCCCATAGACCTTCCAAGGAGCAGCTGGTGGATTTGAACTGCCAACCTTTTGTGCCACCAGGGCTCCAATATGTGTATACATATACATATATATACACACACACGTATATTATATATCACAATTAAAAAAATAGAAAATGCGTGAAACAACAATCACCTATGAATGAGATTCACAGACAAATCAACAGAAAGTTGATTTAAACACCAAAAGCTTTAAAAAAAAAAAAAAAGAGTAATATGAAAAACAAAATTACATAGAAGAAAAAATTGGAACCTGTTATAGGCAGCCTCTGCAATGGCCCCCAGTGATTCCCACTTCCTGGTATTCTTGCCCTTGTGTAGTCTCCTTCCCTTGAGCACGGTCTGAACCTAGTGACTTGCTTGTAATGAATAGAATATGGCAAAATCAATGGATGTCAATGCTGAGATTTGATTACAAAAGACTTTGGCTTCCTTCTTGCACACCTCTCTTTCTCACTTGCTCAGTCTCATAGAAGCCAGCTGCCATGTTGTGAGCTGCCCTATGGAGAGGCCCACGTGATAAGAAACTGAGGGCAGCCTCCAGACAATAGACAGAGAGGGGCTGAGATTCAGTCCAGCATCCTATGAGGAACTGAATCCAGCCAACAACCATGTTTGTGAGCTTGGAAGCAGATCCTCTCCAGTCAAGTCATCAGATGAGACCACAGCCTTAGCCAACACTTTGTGAGAGATGCTCAGGCAAAAGATCCAGTTAAGCCACGCCCAGATTCCTGACCCACAGAAACTGTGAGATAATAAATGATAGTTGTTTTTCTCTGCTGCTAAGTTTTGGAGTAATCTGTTACACAGCAATAGATAACTAATGAAAAACTCCCTAATAAGACACTTTGGAAATAGAAGAAGGGATACAACTGAAGAGAAAAATCAGTGAACTATAAGATCTCAGAAAATTAGAATATCAAAACAATAGGCATGAAAAATGTGAAAGAGTTGTTTTTAAAAATGTGGTATAGAAAATGAGAAGATCCAATAAATGCCTATTTGGAGTGGAGGGGAAGAAATTGATGAAAATGGGGGAGTAGCAATAGTCAGAAAATAATGGCTGAAGAATTTTCCAGAATTGATTAGAGGCATAACTCTTCAGATCTGAGAAATTCCATGAATCATGAGCAAGATAAAGTTTTATTTAAACTTTATCTATTGTTATAAGACACTTCACAGTTAAACTGCAAGACACCTACAACAAAAATAAATCTTAGAAGCAAACATGGAAGAAAGATGAATTTCCAAAGGAATAACTATGAAACTGACATCAGACATTTTCAATACCAGCAGTAATTGCCAGGGCTGGGAGAAAGTAACTGTCTCATTGGAATTCCATACTCAGAAAAACTACGATCATGGCCGAAAAATAGAATTTTCAAATAAAGGCAAGGAATTTACCACACATACCTTCACTGAAAGTCCACTAAAGAATGTATTTCAGGAAGAAGGAAATAGAACCTAGAAGAAGTAATGGTAAGCAAATAAACAGGTGAACATGTAGTAAAGGCAAATACACATTAACTATGAGAAACAACAATTATGATGATGACATTTAAGGGTAAAAAGAAATGTTCCCTTACCACTGGCAAATAGAAATGATGTATAAAATCTTTTGCTGCCTAGGATTTGGGTAAAGGGTTCTCCCAGGCATTGCTGGTGGAAATGTGAAGAACTATTATAGCCTTTTTGGCAACATCTCTTAAAACTGAAAATATTACCTATACCTCAAAAAACCTAACTGAAATGGTTTTTACAGGCGAGTTCTACCAAACTGTTAAATAACACAGAATTCCTACCTTATGCAAAGTGTTCCAGAGAACAGAAAAACACAGAGGTATCCCCAACTTGTTTTATGAGGCCAAAATAACCTTGATACCAGAACCAGACAAGGACAGTGGAAGAAAAGAAACGTGTACCAATCTCACATTTGAATGTAGTTCCAAATAAATAAATAATTCTAAGTAAATTATCTGCTCACCATAATCTTGCACTATAACTCATGAGAAATCCTTAGTTTTCTGTGCCAGCCATGAGGTGGTGGTATGATTTTAGGTCCAACTGAGAGATTGAGGGAGTGTTATACAAACCCTGGGACCTCTGGGACCTTACTGCTGGGAGCCACGTGTTGAGCACCCGCCACAGTAGCCATAGATACCGTCCATGGGTGAAGTTTCTCTCCAAGCAGACCTGGAGATGTATCAGGTGGATGGGGAACCCCTCACTACTGCTGTGTCCTACATGCTTATTTAGATTGTCTGAAAACACAGTAGCTGTCTCAGCACTCCCTCCTCATAGAAGTTGCCCAGATTTGAAAGTTTCCGTACTCAAAGGAAGGGATGCATTCAGGCTGATGCTTACTCAGTCAGAAATGATGCCATGCCTTCCTTCTTTTCTTTTCATCCTTCCACAAGATCTCACCGTCTCATCTAACCACCTATGTGCATCTGTGCCCTTTCTATGCTTTGGCTTTTGCTACAATAGATGAAGTCTCCACGATTCTGTGAAAGATCAAGCTCTCCACTTGGGCACTAGATCCATCATCTCCTCTCACCTACTCAAGGACAGAACTTCCACACCTCTCATTTGTCTCTTCCATCATCACTTTTTTCCTCTCTACTGGATCTTTCCTATCAGCTGTGAAATATGCTCCCATTTACTGCTTTCATTAAAAAAAAAAAAACAAAGAAAACTTTCTTCATTCTGCTTCTTTCTCTAGCTACTGCACCTTTTCTCTATTTCTCTTTTAAAACAAAACACCTCAAAAGAATTGTCTATAGTTGCTGACTACAAGCTCTCTTCTTCCATTCTTTCTTTAATCCACTCTAATCAGCCGTCCCTATTACTCCATCTAAAACTGCCCTTATGAATATCACTAATAACATGCCCATTGCTAAAAACAGTGGTCAGTTCTTAGACCTCATCCCTCTTAATCTCTCAACAGCATTACCATAGTTGACCACATGTTCCTCTGTGAAGCATTCTCTTTACTTGTCTTCCAGGACAACACACTACTCTCTTGGTTGTCCTCCTACCACCGTGTCCAATCCTTCTCAGTATCTTTTGCTGGTTCCTTTTGATCTCCCCCTTTAAATGTTAGATTTCCTCATAGTCCAGTCCCTAAAACCAAAAAAACCCTGTTGCCATTGAATCGATTCCGACTCATAGTGACCCTGTAGGACAGAGTAGAACTGCCCCGTAGGGTTTCCAAGGAGCGCCTGGTGGATTCGACCTGCCAACCTTCTGGTTAGCAGCCAAATTCTTACCTTTATTTTCTATCTGTAATTATTCTCCTAAAGATTACATCCAGACTCATGTCTGCAAAGACTGATAACTCCCTCACTTCTAACTCTAGCCCAGATAATAATTACAATGATAACTAAACAGACATCTGAAGTTAATAATAGAAAAATATTATTGTCTTTCTAATTTACTTGGTGTACATGTAAGTCTATTACATTATTTCCTATACTTTACTATACTTGAAACACATCCTAGGTAAAAGTTTAAAGTTAATATTAGTATATTCTCAGTCACCTGAGAACTATGTATTGCCACTTACTCATTGCCCATGGCTAAGTTGCAGTTATGACCACAATGGTGCCATGATATCACCTGAATTGTAGCATTTAACCTGTAATGCTCGGCTAAGCATATCTGATTGCTGTTAAATTGATGTCCCAATGAGCAAATGACAATGATTACCCCACAACCACTATTTTTACTCATGCTGAATTAGGTGACTCTTTAGAAAGTTAGAACTTTTATTGGGCATTCATCATTGAAAGACATTTTGGTAAAATAAGATTTTAGTGGATCAAGTTATTTAATAAATTTATATTTTGATCTGACTTAAAAATGAGAAGATAGCAGAGCAATGTGCTATATTAATTGCTACAAAAAAAGCCATCTAAAGACCCAGTGACTTCACCGTGCACTGTACAATTTTGTTGGAAGTTAAAACAGAGGAAAGTGGCAGGAGAATTAATACAGGGCAGACACGCCAAATTCCATTAATTTGAATTTAATTTCAAATTAAATTTTATTGGATACAGGTATACGATTTATACGACGCATAAAGAGTTTATTACTAGTTTTATGTTTGTATATACTTATTTAAGCCATACTATTTTAAAAACAATTTATGGCAATACTAGGGATTTGGGAGAATTCTTTTCCTTTTAATGTTTCAGAGCCACTGTCCTAAAGCAGTTTATTCTGCAAAGAAGTCAACTTTCACAAGGGGGAAAAACCTCATGCTTTCAAAATTCAAGTTGTCTTTTTTTCGTCATAATGTTGTAAGGCCAACCATATTTCAGCCTGGGGAAAGCAGATCAAGACTACCTCTGGACGGTGTATTGATGGAAGGACAACTAATTTGTTTGGAGTCCTTATCAGATCCCAGAGCTTCCACAGAACAAGGAACAGCCTGCCTCAGCAGCTAAACTTCCTCTACTCCCTCCTCCCCAGTGAACTGCTGTTCCTGCCAGAATAGTACACCACTTTATCTCCCAGGGTTTATTTTCTCGAAAACGCTATCCAGATCTCAGAACACTTACTAATCTCCTTACTGCCACCATTAAGACCCAGCCTAAAACCGAGAATTCCACTCCATATCATATTTGTTAGCTTCTTTTGAAAAAAACCCTGCTTCCCCAAAAATCTGTAAGAGGAGATATTTAGATACTTTGGTATTGTCCATCCCCATACCCATGTCTTAGTTGTGTTCACATTTATTCATTAAACAATGATTTACTGAGACCTCCTATGCCAGGTGCACTGCTAATGGAGTACCGAAACCCTCAGTTTCTCCTCCTTCCTCCTTTCCTCTGACAGTGCTTTACAAGCCCTCTTAATAACTGTTAATATTTTCTGGCTGCAGATCTCAGCTTCCCCGTGAAGTGGCTCTGCTACCATGCCTGACCATGCCTTGTCTCCTGGTCCCATGATTTAGATGAAGGAAGAAGGACCCTCTCACTAACAAGGTGTACCCCTTAGCTCCCCAAAAGAAGGAACTTATTCTCATCTCTCTTAAACGACTCAAGTGTATCAACTGTTTCATTAAGTTCTCTAAAGTGTCTTCCTTCACCTACTTAAAAAAAAAAAAAAATCTTATGCTAATTTTCCTGACTACCTAGTAGAGGAACATTTTGAGTGGTACCAAACAATTTCATATCCAAAAGAATCCTCTCACCTAGCCCATATGTGAATCCTTGAACTAAATCCAAGTAGGCCCACTCTATCGCCTTGATGTGACTTACTTACTGCCCATCTGGATCACTGCCCAGAGAGCTAAGAATATTTTATTTAAAAATCTCTGCCCCAGGACCTATCAGCACCTCCAATAAGTCTGGTTATTTCCTTACAAGATGCTCCTTAGACCCTCATCACTCAATACATTTTGCATTAACAGGGTATCCCTTCATAAACATTATACCAAGCATAGAGAAAAATATGAGCTATAATCAAGCTTATTTAAATTTTATTTGCCCAACATTCAAATAGTAATTATTCTTTAATTCCCTTCACCCTTCCCAGCCTCAAAAAGCCTCATGTTTAAACAAAACCAACAAAAACTCAATTTTTCTACAAAACACAATCAGTTGACCAATCAATCAATGTAGCCACCTGTAGAAATTATACAGTGGGCAGTAGCGGGAAATATTGACATGGCACCTTACCACTTCTCTTTGGGGGTTCAAAGTATTTGTTCTCATTGCTTTGCACAGAGGTTGGAAATGATTTTTTTTTTTTTCCTTCTACAGCAGATTAATAATGTTGTTTCTGGTAATGTTTTTATTCTTTAAAAAAAAGGTGGGGGGAGAATATACAGAACTTGTAGCTTCCAATTAACAGTTCTATGGAAATCCACAAGATGGGTTTTACATAACATTTCTGAATATTTCTCTATGTTCCCAAATGCTAGTTTTTCAACTAGAGAAGAAAGTCAGTTTCTCCATCAGTGCCTTTTCATTTCATATCCCACCCTAAAGGGGAAAAATAGCATCTGCATCTGCGTAGAGGCTCAGGACAAGACCTCTCTTACTCTAATAACCAGGTTCACAGGTCTCTCGCTGACTTTTCAAGCTCTCTGTCATCAGTTTGGCTGCCGTTCTAGTGTATTTTGGCCCATTCCACTGGCTTTAGCTCAGCTCATGCTGACACATCTGCAGGGGGCTGAATTCAACATTGGGGGAGACAATTTATGAGCACTTATTATCGTATACCACCCACATGTAATTAAACCTGAAAAGAAACTATGGATATCCTCTGCTGCAGTGTGAAAATCTCCATCCTCCCTGACCTCACTTTTTCCAGATTACCTTTTCTAAGGCATGAGTGCTCACTGTCTGATGCCAGGGAACAGGAAGGCATTTTTCACAGCCTGAAGCATTCCTTTGATTTCAGTTCTACGGCGAGTAAGATTTTTTCCCCTATGGGTCTTTCCTCTCCCACCCCATGTCACAGTGAGTTTTCATACAAAACTACAAAGATCTGGGAAACCCTGACCACACACCAGCCACCCAACAACGAGAAGGCACAACTGTGAGGGTCGGAAGGTACATTTGAAAATTTGACCTTGAGCTGAAAAAACAGTATGAGAAGGAAATACCAGAGCAGAGACCTACCGGGAATGAGCTATACCTGCAGTAAATGACTTTGCTTTCCATCCTCTGCTCTGTTGACTTAGGTTTCTTCCATTTTCCATTTTATAAAATGGGTCTGTTGATACACCACCTCTCTGTCCACCAGCTGGACTCCCAGTAGCGTGATGGTAGCAGCATGATGGACCAGGGTTGATTGACAGACATCAGGACACTAAGCCAGGAAGTGGAGGAGGAGAGCTGAGGTTACAAAAAGGCATGGGCCTGGATGAAAGGGTGAAGGAATGCAGTGGGATGTCTCAGAGAAAGGGAGTTCTGTCGAACAGAGGCTGAAGGGAGTTGAGAAGGGGCTGAGATGTGGAAGGCTAAGAAGCCCAGTGGTTTCAACAGAACTTGTCCCAGCACAGGCATCTAAAGCAGTGAGGCAAGAGATATGGGATTCTTCCTTAAGAGACTATGGGGCAGGTTTGGTAGCAGCACACAGTTAGATTGGTATTCTCATGCTTTCAGTATTTAATCTGAAACTGAGAGGAACTTAAACCCATTGTCATCAAGTCAGTTCTGACTCACGGAGACCCTATAGGACAGAGTTGAACTGTCCCATAGGGTTTCCAAGGCTGTAATCTTTACAGACCCAGACTGCCATATCTCTCTCCTGAAGAGTAGCTTGTGGGTTCCAACCGACAACCATTTGGTTACAAGCATGAAACCACAGAGCCCCCAGGGCTCCTTGAAAGGAACCTAACAAATCTTTCCAACCCTTTGTAAGTGCTAGATGGTTTAGGAAAGACACAGGCCAGTGTTGCAAAGACCATATTTAGGAATTAAACTGCAGAGAGCTAACTGTAGGGTAATGCTGTGTACATGTAATTTACCTATATCTTTGTAATTTTTCCAATCTTCATCTTTATTCATTTAATAATTATTCATTGAGCTCCTACAAAACTGCTCACAGTACCCAGAGAAGAAGAGAAATATGGCCCCTGCCTACAAGGACTTGTTCCATGATTATAAGCTCCATGATGGCAGGGATTTTGTTTGGTTCACTTCCATCTTTTCAGAGCCTGGAACAGTGTTTGGCACACAGTAAGTGTTGACTAAATATTTGTTGAATGAATGAATGAAGCAGGCTTCAGCCCAGTAATTCACTGTTGTATTGCTACTACTAGAATACCATAGTTAACTTGGCTCTCTCAGGATAATGCTAACAGAGTGAATAATGCACAAAGGGCAAAAATTTCCTAACCTAAAAAAAGAAAGATATCCCTATTCCCTCCTATAGTGGTTGCTGTGGAAACGACCAGAGCCCAAAGAAGAGACGCTGTCTTTGGATCTGTCCTTTCCTCAGCACACAGAACCACAGATAAGCAGTTCCTGCTTTATGAGAAGCTACTGAGGGGAGGTAAGAGGGAGACATTTCCTATCCTAAACAGTACAGAATCCTGGCAAGCAAGAGATGGTTTATTCAAATGGGTGCCTGAAGAGAGTTCAAGAAAGGATTGTTTGTGAAGATAGGACAGAGTTAACAAAAACCAACCAGGTATTGGGAGCCTTTAATTTAAAGACTGAAAGTTCAAGGGGATAGAGTAAGCACTGGTATCTGACAAGAACTCTAGCTGTAGAAGAGGGCAACCCAACAGGGGTCATGGCCCTGGAAAAGGTCGACCTCTCAGTGCACAGAGCTGGGTGGAGAAGGGTGGTAAAGAGATCCAGAGGGGCAGAGAATCTAAGCACAATCACCAATTTTGCCCCTCAGCATCTACTTTTGTTCTTTGCTTGAAAAACATGCAAGCAACCCAAGTTTTATCAGACCAATCCTGGTTTCATTTACTGGATCTGTCAGGATCCCAGCAGGAAACAGATGGCACACTCAAAGGGAAAACTAAGGAGAGTTTAATGAAGGGGCATTTACAAGAGTATAAGTAAGTTGTGGTAAACTAGTTTTATGAATTGAATTGTGTCCCCCAAATTATGTGTTTTAAATCCTAAACTGCCTATGGTTATAATCCTGTTTGTGAGTGGGTTATGTTTGTTATGTTAATGAGGCAGGATTAGGTTGTGTTAATGAGGACTAGGTTATGTTTGATATGTTAATGAGGCAAGAATAGGGTATATCTTAAGTCAAACTCTTGAGACATAAAGAGATTAAACAAGCAAGCTAAGGAGCAGAGATGTGAGAAGAGAGATGCCAAGCCACATGAAGATCATTCAGGAGCAGAAACTCAAAGAGACAAGGACTTTCCTCCCAGTTGACAGAGAGAGAAAACCTTTCCCTGGAGCCAGTACCCTGAATTCTAGCCTTCTAAACTGTGAGAAAATAAATTTCTGTTTGTTAAAGCCACCCACTTCTGGCATTTCTATTATAACAGCAGCAGATAACTGAGACAACCAGCAAGAAATGGCAAAGCACCCGGGTTAGTAACAGTAGAACCCTGTTAACACCCTTAGGTTTGAAGGTACTGGGGAAGGAGTAATTGCTGGAACACTGGGAGAGCTGAAGATGGAAGAGCGGCCAGAGAACAGAAGCTGAGGCTTTTGATAGAGGAATAAACCACCCTAGAATAGCTCTGACAGGTAAGCAGCCGGAGGACTAATGCCCTGACATTCTTCCCTCACACCTTCCAAGGTCCTGCTGATGCCTCCCATGGGACAATTAGAGGCCAGAAGAAAAGGGAGCCAGCCAGTTGGTGAAGTCCAAGGAGGTCGGCCTCACGAGGCATAGGCCAGGATGGGGATGGCTGGTGAGTGGATCTGAAGGAGAAAACAGAGCATTTCCAGCAGCTGTGTTTACTGACTGGCTTTGAACACCTAAACAAAAACCACCTACACAGTAACAGCCAATACGCCAAGCTCATGTTCTGACATAGTCATCAACTGGGGTATGAATAAGGTTTGGGGAAGCCAGAGCTTCCATTCCTCCAGCTATGGATCTTTCCCCGACGATTACTTGAACAAGAGGAAGCAAATACCATACCACCCCCTGCAACTGAATATGTGTCTATGTGTGCACCTGTTAAACAGACTTCTAGGGGCTGTAAGGTGTATTTGCTTAGCAATCAAACATACCAGGACCTGACTTTCAGCTCGGACGTTTACAACCTATGTGACACTGGGCAAGTTACTTAATCACTTTAATTCTCCATCTGTATAATTTGGAACTCTAACCACCCTGAGAAAAATATTGTAAAGAATAAATGAAATAATGGAAAATTCTTAACAGGGTTTTTCACACATGGTTGATACTCTTTTAATATTCATTTTCCATTGGCCTTACTCTTGTGATCCTGCAGTCAACACTTAATGCATATTTGTAACTCCCCCTATGAGAAAATGTATTCCAAGCTCCAATCAGCTTATAAACAAAAATCTTTTGAACACAACTTGTGTTTAAATTGAGGAGGCTCTGTATTTAGATAAAACTCTCAAAGGTAGTTTGATGATAAAGACTCGTTGATGATCATATTTTCAGACATGATAGGATCATTCTAACTTGGATAAAGTGAGTTCACTCTGCAAGAAATAAATAGGTAATTAGATACGATGAGCTAAAGAACCCAGACAAGTAACCCAAAAACTATGACTATACACTAAGGAAAATGCTCCGGAAGAATAGACACACAACTGTTAATAGTGGCGAACTCTGGAGATCAGAGTGGGATTGGAGGGATGTGAGCAGTGAAAGCAGACTCTCACTTATTCCTCTGTATATTTAAATATTGCTTAAATGTTTTATAATGAACATGCACACACATTCTGCTTAACTTTTTATTGTGCTTTAAGTGAAAGTTTATAGTTCAAGTTAGTTTCTCATACAAAAATTTATACACATTGTTATGTGACCCTAGTTGCTCTCCCTATAATTTGAAAGTACACTCCTCCTTTTCACCTTGAATTTCCCGTGTCCATTCAACCAGCTCCCGTTGCTTTCTGCCTTCTCATCTCGCCTCCGGACAGGAGCTAGCTGCCCATTTAGTCTCATGTATCTACTTGAGCCAAGAAGCACACTCTTCACGACTATCATTTTATGTCTTATAATCCAGTCTAATCTTTGTCTGAAGAGTTGGCTTTAGTTTTGGGCTAAGAGAGAGCCGGGGGGCCATGTCTTCCGAGGTCCCTCCAGTCTGAGTCAGACCATTAAGTCTGATCTTTTTACTAGAATTTGAGTTCAGCACCTCACTTTTCTCCTGCTCCATTAGGGACTCTCTGTTCTATTCCCTGTCAGGGCGGTCATTGGTGGCAGCCAGGCACCATCTAGTTCTTCTGGTCTCAGGCCAATGGAGTCTCTGGTTTGTGTGGCCTTTTCTGTCTTTTGGGCTAATATTTTCCTTGTGTCTTTAGTGTTCTTCATTCTCCTTTGCTCCAGGTGGGCTGGGACAAATTGATGCATCTTAGATGGCTGCTCACTAGCTTTTAAGACCCCAGATGCCACTTAAAAAGTGGGATACAGAACATTTTCTTAATAAATTTTGTTATACCAATTGACCTAGACATCCCCTGAAACCATGGTCCCCAGACCCCCACCCCTGCTACTCTGTCTCTCGAAGTGTTCGGTTGTATTCAGGAAACTTCTTAGCTTTTGGTTTAGTCCAGTTGTGCTAACTCCCCCTGTATTGTGTGTTGTCCTTCCCTTCACCTAAGATAATTCTTGTCTATCTAGTTAGTGAATACCCCTCTCCCTTCCTCCCCACCTTCATAACCATCAAAGGAACATTTTCTTCTGTGTTGAAACCTTTTCCTGAGTTCTTATAATAGTGGTCTCATACAGTGTTTGTCCTTTTGCGACTAACTAATTTCACTCAACATAAGCCTTCCAGATTCCTCCATGTTAGGAGATGTTTCAAAGATTCATCGTTGTTCTCTATCATTGCATAGTACTCCATTGTGTGTATGCACCATACTTTGTTTATCCATTCATCCGTTGATGGGCACCTAGGTTTTTTCCATCTTTTTTCTAATGTGAACAGTACTGCAATGAACAAGAGTGTGCATATGTCTATTCATGTGATGGCTCTTATTTCTCTACGATATATTCCAAGGAGTGCAATTGCTGGATCGTATGGTACTTCTATTTCTAGCTGTTTAAGGAAGCACCAAATCGATTTCCATACTGGTTATACCATTTTACATTCTCACCAGCAGTGTATAAGTGTTCCAGTCTCTCCACAACCTCTGTTATTATTTTGTGTTTTTTGGATTAATGCTAGCCTTGTTGGG